GCCACGCTACTAGTAACAGGTGCCTTACTAGTAGTAACAAGAAGCTATTAGTAACAAGTGCCACGCTAGTAGTAACAGGTGCCTTACTAGTAGTAACAAGAAGCTATTAGAATTAAATTGAGGTGCCTTTCTCTTCAAAACCGACGTCGTCCGCATGTGGCACCAAAGTCCGGCTCTTCAGGCCTCAGGCATGTGGCACTGACGTCGCGGTGCGGGTCCAGGCGCGCTTTACAAAGGCGAAGCTCAAGGTGAAAACTGCTGACAGGTCCCAGGTGCTGCAGCCTTATAAGCTAATGTAGTGATGCACCCATATGCACCTTGTTACTAGCTTCTTGCTACTAGTAGCCATGCCAGGAGTGCCAGTTTCTAGCCTCCTTTTGCTAATGGCGATGCACCTTATTATAGGAGAAACGACTGCAAGAAATCGACTTTAAGGAACCTAACAGCGATGGCCTCCAACCTGAAAGCCCTTTCGTGAAACAGAGGGAGGTTTCTTTTTCAAGGAAACAGAAGGTGTCAGAGGATTGGAGGCAGCATTGCCAAGAGGTGAGTCGACCGTGTTCAATGGAGATTCCCTGAGAAATGGGCGACAGAGAGATCAGCTAACGAAGTGTGAAGTGATCGTGAAGTGCCTGCACTCTTCCACACCAGGTGTCCTAAGACAGCGGGTTTGGATGGGTTCATGGTCATTTTTACACCTGCGACGGCTCCCAGCTGGGCCCCAACGTCTACAGCATCAAACCCAGCTCAGAAGCGTCCAGCCCGGGAGCCTGGCAGCGTTCAATCCAGCCGATCGATGGAGGCCATTCGAGGCCATCGCTAGGGTTGGTGGGAGGTCATCGCTACTAATGTCCAACATCTCGTCGGATGGGTTCTGGCGTATCATCAGCTGATCTCCGCTCAGGTGGATCGTCCTGGACAGTGCTTTGTTCCACTCTGGACACCGAGTGACCCTTCGGTTTACTTTGGAGGTGCCTCAGCAGATTCTCTTGTGACTAAGGGTTCAAGAGCTTTCTGGACATTTCTGGAAGAAGACTTGGATTCTGAGAAGTCCCTACTGTATCATTTAAGGACGCTACTAGGGGCTCCTGGCCTTACTACTAGGAGCAAGGACGCTACTAGGGGCTCCTGGCCTCACTACTAGGAACAAGAAGCTACTAGGGGCTCCTGGCCTTACTACTAGGAGCAAGGACGCTAC